CCGGGGAGGTGCCGGGCGGCCCCCGGGGCGGGGTAGGGCTGGGACGAGCGTAGGTGTGTCGTGTTTCCCCCCCGCCTCCCCGCGGGTGGTCCGGTCCGGGGAGACGGGGGCAAAGGCGGGAAGGGAATGTAGGTGAGCGCCACAGGCGGGTCCCGCTCTCCTCACGCCGGAGAAACTTGAGGGCGGGGTCGGTCTGTGAGGGCCATCCCAGGGGTCCGAATTGGAGAGGGAGGACCAGAAACTACCGGGGATCACCGCCGCTCCCAGCCCCTTTTCTGCTGTAGGGACCCTCGTGTTTCCCCCGTCCCGGCTGGCTGCGTCCCACGCGGGACCGTGGCGGGCCGGAGGACGCTGCGGAGCGGGCTCCGAGGCCGCTTTAAGCTCCTCAGGCTGCAGCCGAGCCGCGAACTGGCGGGACCGCGGGTTTTGACCGGCGTTAATTCGCATCAGCTACCGGCGAGGGAGAGCAGTACCGCGTCCAGGAAAAAAAGGTAAATCGGGAGATTAGGTGATTTGTTGGAAGTTAAAGAGGAAATCTGGGGAAGAAGTGGAAGCAGGACCTGGATTTCCTGCTTCCCACTCCTGCACTTCAATACCAGGCACATTACACCTCCCACTGCAATGAATAAGAGGAGAAACGTGTGCGTCTTTGAACCCATCTCACTTTTTACACCGGAAAGCTCTGAACACACACGTACCACGCACAGCCCTCTCTGCTGAGGGTCCAAAGTACAAACAGAGCAAAGATTTCTTTCTCTCTTGCCACAGACACAAACTGCAGATTTATTCTTTAATTCCTTGAGTGAAATTAGGCAGCCCGGTTTCTTTGTCAAAGACGAATGTGGGTCATGAATGCTGTAGTCTCAATTAGATTATTTTTAAATTCAGTTTAATCATTAAATTGGTACTCAGAAGGGTACTTTTCTTTGAACATTAATCTTAGTGTGACTGAGTATGTGGCTGACTTCCCAAGTTAAGATGCTGTCCAGAAGCCCAACACATCACTGTCTCGCTTCAGCAAGAGGTAGTAATGTTTAGGATGAGATTCGAAATGAAAAACTGACAAGCATTTGCCAGTGATTCGGTACAGGCTTTGGCTTCATAAGGGCTTTGTAAGATTTAGATCAGCAGCCTGAAGTGACCTGAAATCAACCCGCTGGGGTCAGTAACTCGAAAGGGCTGTAAATAAATGATGAAATACCATGATTTCTAAGTAACAATGGAGTTGCTCTCGGGTACGTTAGGCTGCTTGCACACGTTTTTTTGGTGTCCATTCACAGCATTAGCAGAAGGTACCTTGAAAGCACAAGGACTTATTCGTATTTTGGATGAACTGGGAAGCACTGGACACTTTGAGTCACCGTGAAAACCTACAGTAAACCATAAGCAATCACAGCTCTTACTTAAAATGTGCAATGCAATCCAATTTAGAGAGCAGCAGTGTATTTGCTTTCCTTATCATGTGTGGCAAAGTGTATTATCATTTTCTGTAAGATTATTCTCTTCAATGCCCCAAGAGTTAACACCCCAGACATATCAGCATTCTCTGGCTAACCCCGAGCCCAGCCTACAGACAATCCAGGGAACAGAGAGCTGGCTCCCATGGAGAAGACCTCCTCAACAGGGGTGAAGCGCAGCATGGCTATGCAGTAACGGTCTTCCAGAGCGTTGGCTTTGCTGACAGCGTGTGGGAACGCAATGAGCTGGAGGTAGCCGGGCTGGTGGCCGAGCCTGGGGGTGCCAGCCCAGGATGGGCTCCCACCGGGGAGCAAGGCTGAGGGCACCGTGGGAGGACAGAAGAGAACAGGGAAGGGGAAGGGCTGCAGCAGTGACGTTCAGATGACTGGAGTAGCTTTTGCCTTATCTTTCTAGTGAGAACTTAACTACGTAGTAAATAGAAGGCTCTTCACCCATGTTTGTTAAACAAACTTTTTGTTTTATTCGTACAAGGCAATGCACACATATTGCAGACAGGAGGCCAAATGCCTATTCCAATAAAACAGATCCCCTATTCTTAATACTGCAAACTCTTCAAGATCATTTTCTGTAAGAACTGATACACTTATTAACCAGTACACATTCACCTTAAACCCCAGACAAAACAGAAGTAGAACCTTGGTCTGAATTCAAAGTTCAGGCATGCCATCCGTTGGTGGCCACATCAATCGCTGGCCAACCAGAAGACGTCACAGTGCCAGTGAAGGGAGCAGAGCTGTGAAAGCTCAGACGTGCTCAGAACCTGTCCCGGTTTTATTTCCTTTCCTTCATTATTCATTTTCACCAATTCAAAACAGTTTGAGTCAGCTTCATGTAAAATTTAACTGGTAAGAGCCATAAATTCTAAAAAGTTATTCGTTCATTCAACAGATACATCACAGTGTTCAATGTAAGCAAGAGTAGTGCCTATTATTTCTTAGAAAAGATGCATAGATAAAATGAAGGAAAAAAAAACCCTCCTTCCTATCAGAAAATAATTCCTGTAAGAGATTGCAGCTGCAGCCATGTCCCACTGAGCTCTCCTTTCTAAGGGACAGCCTTCAAAAGAAATTACACTGTTCCACAAGTCCATGAACATCTACGAACAGAAGCTGGAGTAAAATGAACACAGAACATTATTTTTAAGGTTTACTTGTTACGGAAACAATCTGATTTTTTAACATCGTAATTTCTGTACCAAATTAAATCAACAATGCGTTTGTCACATCAAGGCTGGATGAAAGACTACAGTTTCTTAAAACATGTCTCTGCATGGTGGGTGATAGTACGGACAAGTTCAATTGTTGCTTTCAGCTGACTATAACTTAGACATAATAGGTTGCCAACCCATACTGGAAGAAAATTTATCTGGTATTGATATTTTCAACACCCATGAAACAAATATATTACAATAAAATTCTCATTATAAAGTTGCACAGATTTCTATGTTAACCATTAAGAGTTTATATGAAAAAGCAGAAGTTATCTACTGTTGTTTCCTGATATAAAACAGTAGGTAGAAACCTAATGTAGAAATCTGAAGTTAGATAAATCCTTTGGCAGCATGTTCAGTTACAATCAGGCCTTAAAAATAAATATGATAATGTATAGAAGTATGAAGAGAAAAAACAGATTCTATTAACACCAAACCCCTCTAAATACACTATTTTAATAATAATTAAATTATTTTACACTATCTACAAGTTGCATATCACAGAATTAGGAATATAAGAGATGACAGAATGACAAATCCTGCTTTTATAAAATTTCAGGCTTTAACAGTATGCATATATGTAGCTGTGTAGAAAATCTCAGACAAATGAGTATATACATTATTTATATTTAATAATTACTGAACATAATCAAATCACATCTGTCTAGCCATCTCAATTTAAGATGCTCAGTATTTCTGCTGGACCAAAGTTTTGAATCCAATAAAAATACCTACCTTGATCTCAATTTACTAACAAACATGGAGAATCTATATAAATGATAGCAAGGTTTAGTTTGACTACATACCAACTTGGAACAAAGTAAACTCTTACCAAAAAATCTCCAAACAATAAGAATTTTGAACAGCAGCACTGAAATTAATTATTGTTCTTAAAGAACCCCAGGAACAAGTTATCAAAATACTTCAGTATTGCAACATGTGCTATTTATACTAAACTACTTCAAGGGGAAGGATAAAGACAAATTAAAGTCATGTCAAAAGGAAAGACAAAAGCTTCCTTCCAATTGCACAAATTAAAAAAAATTATTTAAAGAGCAGGTACTGAATACCTTATTGCATAAGCATGAGGCTGCGAATGAACAAGGTCATGACACTAAATAATTAAATAAAATGTAAAAGAAATGGAGGTGGCGCTGAGTGAAGAGTGGATTTTATTACTCAACAACAGTCTACAATCTGATAGTTCTCATTTGGTAGAAAATTTATACACCAAACATACTTATTTAGACAATTGGGAGTTTCATGCATTTAATCAAGATGATTTTATCAGTGATTTGCTTCCATTATTTTCCCAATTTAAAGATTATTACTCATCATAAAATTGTTAAAATAGGTATAAATATGACTATGCTAAAGTGAGTAGGCAAATAGTGATTTTTTTTTTTTCAGAGGTTGAAACAATAAAAGAAAGAAATCCCACATTCCTGAAAGATAATTCAGCTCATCTGCTCCTCTTGTACAAACCCCACCCATTAAAAAAGTGCATCAGGGAAGAAATTCTTAGATTTCTTTTCTTAGCCACCAAATGCTACGCTTCCAAGGCAATTCCTTTTCTAAAGACACGTCTGTCATTTTCAATATGCAGCTACTCCTTGTATTAAATGAGGAGCACAATCCCACTCACAAAGCACATGTATTCTGCCTATACAGATAGTGTGTTAAATACACCTTTTCCAAATGGTTTAAGAGTTTCTCTGACTGTAATCGGTGTTTATTTAGAGATGGAGATGGTGGCAGAGAAAGGAAATCCAAGAGAGGCAAGAACCCCCTGGTCCCATAAAGACAATTCCTGTTCTACTCGGCTCCCTGTTGGAAAGGGAACAAGGCAGATTCTCACAGTCTTAAGAAGCTTCAAACATTCTTGAGCCTCCTCCTTTACCACAAGGAACTACAATACTCCTTCACTTCCAAATACATCCAAAAAGGAAAAGAAAAGAGATTCTGTACAAGTTTCTGGCTCAGCACCTTGTATCCACAGAGTGCCCACACAGTCAGCTGGGAGCATCCCTTGCCTGCTCTTGCAAAGGAGACTTGTGCTTGCAGTACCCCCTCTGCCAAAAGACACAAATGAGTTCTAGCAAAACCCCACCTGTTTTCTTCAAGAGAAACACATCAGAAGTTCTCTGTAGTTTCCAAAAATCTAATAGGCAGCACTGTAAAAATCTCATTTCTTGTGTTTCTGTAGGTACATGGTCCTCACTGTCACAATATCAAATCATTTTCTCTTCCAGCTCTCATTTGCTGAACTTGTGCAGTTGTTCCAATTAGGCAGTGCACATCATAGTGTAAAGCTCACTACAGCAGCACAGAGAGAAGGTGGTCTCTACATCTGCAGGGATTCTCTAAAGCCACTTGGATAGAAGGATTATAGTGAGATACCAGGGGAGGCAATGCATAACAAGAGCAACACATAACAACGACTAAGCACCCTCAAGTTTTCAGAAACACATTTAAAAGAAAATGATTTTTGAACAATCTTTTAACTTAAGATTCACAAGTGGCGTTTCTTGAAAGCACTGAAATAAGGGCTCAAAGTAATCTGAAATTATTTTAAACCATCAGCTAATCTAGTTCAAGCTATCTTTATGCGAATGCTTAACAATCATATCTGATGCGTATTTTTACTCTGCATCACCCTAATGCAGTAAGTTGGGTTATTTAAAAGGAAAATGTATTTTGATATTCGTGACAGGTATTCATAAAAATCATTAGGTCTGGCAACCTTTATTCATTAATT